CCTCTAATTACGCTGTCACTATTAGTGGCTGACGTTACAGAAATTTGCAATATCTCTCTATTAAGGACAGGCACAATCTTTATTAAAGTTAGTGATCTGCGCATGCTCAGATGTCAAAATAAGAGCGGCACTAATAGTGACTGACCTTAAGTGAACTTACAATAACTCTCTATTCTCACAATAGAGGACCTTTTCTTGTCCTGTCAAATAATTTAACTTACATAATACGTAGTTATTAGTTACACGCTTTATAATAAATAAAAGATTACAAAGCAACAATGTGCACAGATAAATAAAAAGAGATGGCGTAATGTTACTGGCTATTTTTAAGATAAGACATTGCATATGTATGTCCCCCTCTGGCTACGGCCCTGAACCAATATTTCATTCTCAAAGGAACTGTTATTTTGACTGAAAAACTTTAGATTAGGAGTTTCTTAACAAAATTAAGAGTTATTATTATAAAAATAACTTGTGGTTAATTTCTTCTGTCTTCTTTATTCTTTTATTGGGTTAATTTAATAATAAAAAAAAATAAAAATCAATACATTTTATTTTTTTGCTGGACCGGCAAGGCGCCGTTTTAATTGACTTCATGCGCCGGTCCAAGGGGCCCCTGACCGTCCTATTTTAATATTTCACCTTTTTGTGTATTTTATCAGAGACATGGCAGTGTTGATAGTGTCTTTAATGAAATGATCATGATATTGTCAGATTGTAAATAGGTAAATTGTACATAATGGCCGTAACGTTTGTAGTAGATATATAGGTATTCCTATTTATGAATTCATATATCAGAGTACTTGGATAATTTTTGCTGACTATATACTCGTAATATACAGTAGGTACGAGGAATTGCTTGTGGTCCCATGCCTGCCATTTAATACATGGTTTTTGCCTTAGTGGTGATCAATTGCGTTTATTAAGTACCTACCTACTTTGATTATTATAATCATAGTATGGAATTTTCGAAAATCTCATTGTTACTCGGATATCAAGAAGGGAAGAAATTTGCAAAAAAATGTAAAAAACAGTGTTACGACAAGTCACGACAAGATCATAGAAACATGATTGTTATTCGATTACTTACTAACAATAAAGATAACAACTGAATTATTGATTAAATGCCACAAACTGTTTAAATAAAAGAATAATTGAAATTCATTCAATAATACCTAGGTACTAAAAAACTATCCGAAGCAACAAAAGAAGAAAAATGGAAAATACAACTCTATTATAAAAAATTTCAATAAAACATTTCGAAAACTACAAAAAAATATAAAATTAACATTAACATGACAAAGTATGCAGGTATAAAATAAATACCTAATTGTACTATTACATGAAAAGTCAAGGTTCTTGCATTGCACCGCATTTAATTATGTTTTGTAACAACGAACCTACTAATTGAGTCTACTTAAGTAATTATATTTACTGTATTTTAGTCCATTATCAGTATGCCTATCTAAAATGTTACTTTACAATTTTACATAAATGATAACAAACATGTACCTATAAAATATATCAAACAAACTTAATACGTTCGGAGAGCCAATATGTTTTACTGTAAGAAAATAACCGTTTTCTTTTAACAGAACAATTCCATAAAGGGTTCGTGACGATATCATTTAAATAAATGCAATTATGTAATAAAATTTCATTAATCCGAGTTCACGAACGGTGAAGGTCGATGCCAAACAAAGCACAATATGTACAGGATGATCTAAAAGCTTGGTATGAGTTATTCTCTTCGACAGTTATTACTTAAACTATATGTTAATATAGATAGGTAGCGTTTTCGTAATTTTCATATGTGTACCTAGTTTTGAAGCAATGTTACTAGATCTGGCAACGCTGATTAAACTTGGCATTTTATAATCTTTATACACTTTTAGATGTAATGGAAGCTTTTACTATCCTTTCTTTCATATCTTGTGGTGTTGTAGATGGCGTTAGATGTTAGATATTTAAAATCAGGTTTTGTTTCATTACTTTTTTTTTGTGCGCATTTGTCAGTATCAGTCATCTTTTTCGTACTGTTTTTTGTAAACAAGAATGTTAAAATGCCCACTTAAAACAGTTATAATCAATAAATATTAATTTATGTGTATTCATTTAAAAAAAGGAAGAAAAAAATATGTGTGGCACTCGGGGACTGCCGCGGTAAAGCTATTGCATAGCATTTTTTTATCAACTAATTATTTATTTATTTTATTTATGCAGTATTTTTTTTACTTTCCTATCTGTATACAGATATAAGGAAAGTATAGGAATCATGATTTTTTTCGACCTCGAGTTTTCGACGGATATTTACGTTTTGAGGTCCCCTGAATCCGTGTGTGTGTGGTGTGTGTGTGTGGTGTGTGTGGTGTGTGTGTGTGGTGTGTGTGTGTGGTGTGTGTGTGTGGTGTGTGTGTGGTGTGTGTGTGTGGTGTGTGTGGTGTGTGTGGTGTATGTGTGGTGTGTGTGTGGTGTGTGTGTGTGGTGTGTGTGGTGTGTGTGGTGTGTGTGGTGTGTGTGGTGTGTGTGGGTATGGGTGTGGGTATGGGTGTGGGTATGTGTGTGGGTATGGGTATGGGTGTGGGTGTGGGTATGGGTGTGGGTATGGGTGTGGGTATGGGTGTGGGTATGGGTGTGGGTATGGGTGTGGGTATGGGTGTGGGTATGGGTATGGGTGTGGGTATGGGTGTGGGTATGGGTGTGGGTATGGGTGTGGGTATGGGTATGGGTTTGGGTGTGGGTGTGGGTGTGGGTGTGGGTGTGGGTGTGGGTGTGGGTGTGGGTGTGGATGTGGATGTGGGTGTGGGTGTGGGTGTGGGTGTGGGTGTGGGTGTGGGTGTGGGTGTGGGTGTGGGTGTGGGTGTGGGTGTGGATGTGGGTGTGGGTGTGGGTGTGGGTGTGGGTGTGGGTGTGGGTGTGGGTGTGGGTGTGGGTGTGGGTGTGGGTGTGGGTATGGGTGTGGGTGGGCGTGTGCTTGTGTGTGTGTTATAATAACATGATTTAATGCCATATACAGTACAGTAAATATATCTTATGACCTTTCTAATGAATTACATTCATTACACATAAATACATGGGCGACAATTTAAGAATATTTGTACCTAGTTAATCTTTGAGGAAGATCGGAGCAGTCAAATCTGTTACTCAATTATTTGCACAGGAATATAAGAGAATTGCAATTTCTTCTAGTACTCAGACTGGACATATTATGCCTAGATGAAAGCTCATATTGCATAGTACCAATAATATAGGGTATATGTTATCCAATTTAAAACTCAGAAACTTTAAAAATTGTCGCTGAACAGATTAAAGCTTGTTCGTATGAGTAGCATATTATGGACTGCGGAAAATTGTTGCGTATTCTAGATTAAAGCGAATAAATGCGTAATATAATATTTTAAGTGTCGAAATATTTGAAAATTCTCTACCGATTCTTACAATGAAACTGTACATTTTAAACGCTTTGGAGACAATTGAGTCAATATCAAGAATAAATGAATATAGGTCCCTTGATATGCTTAGAAACCAAGAAACATTTCTTGATCGTTCGCTGAACGAACAAATGTGTTCACTAGAGAAAATGGCCGACATTTTAAACATCTTTTATAAAATGTAAATTTATGTTTTTAGATAATTTTCAGTAGTAATATCTCAAGGACAGCGATAACTCGAAATATTTTTTTCACATACCGAAAACACGTTGCTTGGTAACTTCCCAACACCGTAGGAGGAGGGAAGTTACCGTAAGAAATAAAAAAAAATATGAGTATTTACCACTGGTCAAGGGGTATTCGATTAGAAAATTTTTGCATATTTTAACTCATTTATTTAATAAAAAGTAACTTACTAGTTACAGTCCATAAAGTCTTGACATTCCATACAGTGTTGACTGTACATTTCATAAAGTGTTTATTGTACATTTCATAAAGTATTGACTGTACATGCTTTAAGCCGGTATAATCTTTTTTCTCATTGTTACTACCCAATCCTTCAGTAACAAAGTTAGTTCTTAAATACTTCCATTTTTTCTATTTTCTAATTTCATAAAATTGTATAGTTTCCATATACATGTTTTTTACTGTTAACGGTATTTATTAGTGTGTTTTCTTCAATTAAATTAACACTATTTTGATTTATTAATATTAGGCATTCCAAAACAGAATGGCTACCAGTGGGTTTTGAGAGGACGTCTGGTTTGGGTATTATTTTAATTGTGATTAGTTTTTCTAACCTGGTCTCTTATTCTTTACAATTTGCGCATTTTGGTGGTATACTTGTCGACTTATCACACTCTCCTGCCTATTATAAAAATGTTTAGTATGCCCATTTCTTTGGCACCGTTCGCATTTGAGTATTAATTTTGGGCTTCTCATTGGCTCCATTTGCATTATTAGGCTTTGTAATGTATTAATTTCGTTAATTCTTTTAATGTCTTCGCCGTTTTCAAATTTTAACGTGAATAATGGCAATGGCTTTTTATAACAGTTCTTATGACTTGATTTCCTCTTCCTTCTTCTTTAGTATTTTGAAGTAAAATAAATTTTGACCACGCTGTACAAAAAAAAGGTTAAAACTTGGTTTAATAAAATCTTTGGTCTAGTGTTTTTATATATTTGCAATTATTTAAACTGCAATGTCAAATACGAGAGAGCAAACAATTTCCCTGGAAGTGATGGGATATAAAAAACAATATTTTGTAGGTATGCATTAAAAAAATGGATTTGCCTAATTTACTCTTGAACCACCCTGTATATATGACAATAATTTCAGAATATTTGGTTTTGACCCCCACTGACAGATATCCTTTAAATAAATCGTTAAATTTTGCATAGTAGAAATTATAGAACTATGACATAGGATTGCCGAACCCTGTGTGTACATACTGATTTGAAAAATACCTATTATAGTTTTTCTTGCGCATGCCTATAAGAAATAAGGTATTTTGAAAATGTCTAAAATTCTACCAATTGTCTAATCAATTAAATTATTTTTTTTTTCAGTTGGTCAACCGTTGGAGGTTCCAAAAATGGAAAACCCTTCGCGAGAAATCATAGAAGAATATCACGAAAAATTCATAGAACACCTGACTGCAATGTTCGAAGAACAAAAGTACAATTATCTAGATAAACCCGAAGAAAAAAACCTTATCATAGAATAAGAAAATACCTGAAATTTCACGAAAAATTTCGAAAATGTTTGCGGTTTTTAACATTCATGTCCAGAAGATTTTAAACGGTGATTTTAAACTATACATATTTTTTACATAGTTTTAAATTACCTACTAATGAGTAATCCACAAAAAATGTTTCTTAAGTAGGCCTTGGAGAAATGCACGTATGTCGAGCTTACGTCCTTCTTCTTTTAAGTGCCACTTTAAATCTAATTAATAGCTTCGCGTATCTCTATCTTTGTCGGTTACGGCCTACTTAAGAAATTTTTTTGTGGATCACTTTTTACAGATATAAATCTCATCATACCAAATTATCTCATTATTTGGAAAATTTAAAATTTCATCTATTCATATTTATAATCTTATGATGGCTAGATTAATTATTATTTGAACAATATTGTTTATTTCATGAATTTATGAAAGCATTTATCATCTTGTTTAATGAAAAAGAATGATCCAATTAATAAATAAGATATTGATTAAGAATAGTTTTGGGTACCTAAATATATAAATTGTTTTGAGTTGTTTTCCGGGATATCAAATTTGTTTGGTCAATGATTAAGTAATTTTTTATCGATATGAGTAGATTTTTTTGCCGAAATGACTTAATTTTAGTTACATAATAATTAATATATCAGAAAACAAAAAGGTACAAAGAATAAAAACTTGAATTCAATATCTTCTTCATGCCTAAAACACATAAAAAATCTACCTTAAGATAGGAAAACAGAAGAATTATAAAATATTAGTAAGTTACAAATAAATAACTCAGGGTTATGATAATTGGAAAAGACCAAGTACATAAAATAGATTTTTTTATATAAATAGATATAGAAGATCTATATTTAAAATAAGAAAACCCATTTGGCATTCCAAACAAAATGGCTATCAGTGGGTAATGACAAATGATATGGCAACCCTGTGGGCCTGGTGCTCAATGGCCTGGTGATTTGACAGGGTCATTGATATAGATAGTTATACCCAGATAGCACAAGTCTGTACTAGGGATATCCCGAGGTTATTCGATGGGATATTAGTCTATATCTTTGGAATATACGGTTTCGGCTATGCGATATCCCTAGTACATCCTGAGGATATACGATGTTAAAAAACGGGATGTCCTCGGTATATCCCAAAACTTTATCCCCGGGATATTCCAATACTTTATCCCCGGGATATCCCGTATACTTTATTCCCAGAGATTTTTTTGTGTCCTATCTTGCCGCTCTTTCGCCCTCTTGAGCCATGCGGCGAGCATATATACCCTTACCACTACACTCCATACATATGGGTGAGCAATTTATATAACTATTATGAAGACTAGAGATAAGGAGGCGAATCGGCCTTGGTCAAATTTCAAATTTTATGTCCCTATTTTTATGGAGTTCCAAAAAACTACTGTAGTTGGCGGGTGGCAAAATAACGACGTCTATTTTCTATGCAAGTCAATGGGAAATTAAGTGATTTTTGTAAAATTTAGTGAAAAGAATAAAAATAAGCTGAAATAAAGAACCTGACTACAAGTAACAATGAGTAACAAAAAACGACAAAGCAGGATTTTCTTCGTGCCGGTTGCAAAACGGGATATAAATCCGATATAAAATTAAAGAACTCACAAGGAAATAAAAATCCAAGTCTTTTTACAGCTCCTAGTGTAAGTAAAATAATGTATTTATTTCTAAATAATATATATTTATTGTAAAATAGTCACAACCCGTATCTTACGGAGTGTAGTTTATTTAATTACAAAATTCTATAATAAAAAATAATAAATTCATAAATCCTGACTTACGAACAACAATAATTACACATTAAATTTAACTTACTAGAAAAGAAAATTTGCTTTTTTATGTTTTTTGATGTTAGATGAAGAGTTACTACTGTTAGTTTTCTTTATTGAACTCCAATTTAGTCATTGCAAATATTTTTTATAGGATCCTAAACATATCCTAAACGTTTAGAACAATGGCAGCATGTGATTCCTAGGGCTGATAAAGTACTGTCTAGTTATGATTCTGTTTGCGAGCTACACTTTTTAGAAGATGATATTTTAAAATTTGATGAGACTATTTTAACTAATGGTACTGTTAGCAAAATAAAAAGGGGACAGCTGAAATTAAAGGATCAGGTAATACCATGTACATTCCCAAATCTTCCTTTATACTTGTATTACAACAATAAAAAATCTGTTAACTGTGTTTTATTTTACTCTTAAAACTATATATTGGTTCAATTAAAAAAAAAAATTGCCACAAAATTGTACTTATCAAATTTCAGCAATTAAGAAACCTTTTCGAATTTGGTCATACATACCAAAATTGTATTTTATATAGATAAAATTAAATAATTTATCAACTAAAACCTGCAAGACTTATTTATAAATAAATACAACAGTATGTTCTGTGCTTTATTTAGTTGTAAACAAGTTTATTTTTATTATTTTGAAAAAATTATGTATAATTCCCATAAGAAGCCATGTATTTTGAACTACGTAAACCGTACCAGCGCCCATGCGGTTAATTATAAAAGTTCAATTGACGTGTGATTTTTGGGACCGTATTTTGAGCATGCCGATTCGCCTCCTTACCTCTAGTCTTCATAATAACTATATACATCATTAGTGTCATTGTATGATCTGAATTACCGACTGTCGGCGTCCCTCTGGTACAGAAGCGCCATCTTAATTTTATACATTTTGTGGGACACTTTTTGCCCTTACCTCTACACTCCATAGACCAATCTAAGTACCTATATAAATATATAACCATATATGTCAAAGACAACAGGCTCACAGGGTAATGACCTGTCATTACCCATTGGCAGCATTTTGACAGGTCGTTGAAATGATTAATTGCTCATGATTGTATTTGAACAAATGAATTTAAAAAAGAGGCCTTAAAAAATTTAAATTTATGAAAAGAGAAAAAATCATCAAATAAAGAGTAATCTAAATATATTTTTAATAATACTTATGTCACTAAATAGTACTATAAATTATATTTATTATACAAATTAAAGAGCAGGTATCGGCATTTCAGAACAAACCAATAAGTAATAGGTTCGTACTCAAAGATTGTGAAACATTTTGAGCACAGTTTGAGCATAAACATTTTAATTAAATCGAACTGCTTATAATACGTACTTACTTCAAGAAAAATTGCAATGACCATTCATAGTATCTCTTATCAGATACGATAATATATACACATTTTTTCCAATTTTCAAAACATTTTCGAATAGCACTATGGTTTTTAATTCATTTATCTATTTTTTCGAAAAATTACTTTTATATCGTCTTAGAAAAATAAAAAATCACAGTGAGCTAGATCTAGTGAACATAGTGGCTGTAGAACCAAGATGGGTGGTTATTATTTTTTTATCCTCGTTCATGATGAACTATGTCGTTATACCTGAAAAAACTTGATTTCCACGTTTAATTGCCTATTGTTACGGTTTAAAACAATTGTAATTCGTCCCTAACTTCAGATAACATGCTTAATGTTGAAAATATTGGCCCCATATTCGATTACAAGCCTTGCACTCAGGATCAGTGACAGCTCCCCCCAAATTTTACAGTCGCGTGCTACATTTATAATTGCATTTCTTTCTATTTTTAGAATGTAGAAAATACGGGGTATAATTATTATGGCAAACTAAACTTTATTTATTATACTTAGATATGACCAAGCAAGTATATTTATTTAACACATTAAGATTACAATAAAAATAGTTACAAAAAACTAAAATTAGGATATGTGTCAATCATAGACACAAAATAAGAATACTTAGTCTTCCGAGCTTTCTTCTGACTAAAATGATGTCGGAAAAGTCAGGACATTTGAACAATAATTCATTCTCAATTTCTAAAATTTCCTGTTGTGCTTTTTTGCCAAGTTTTTAAAGAGCCATAGATACTGTTATGGAATCGTACACAGGTTCAAAAACTTGGTTGATGTTTTTTCTCATAATATGCAGTTGAAAAGCTTCAATGGGTTCTTTTCTGATTAGAAGACAAAAAACAATTAAATAATTAATTAACTCCTTAATTATGATTAATTCCCGCAATCCAGCTGTCAGTTGTCACATCTAATATGCAAAACCATACATTGAAATGATGGAATGGTGTTGCATCGATGCATCAGCATTGGATAAAAAGTCAGCGCTGTTGTTCATCATTAAAGATTGATAAAAAAAAATAACAGGTAGATACCGCACCGATGCCAACGTTGCTGCGACAGTTGGATAAAAAGACACGTTTCGTATCACTACATTTGCAAAAATTGTTTTATATAAACTAAATCATATCAACTTCCTGTAAAATATTCTTATGATTAAAGTTATTTCTATTTATAATATCCTTTATTGTTTTTCAAGTTTTCGTAAGATTGCCATTTTAAAATTATTTGTGCCATATTAACCTTTAATTTAGAGTTTAGACAATGTATCATTCCTCAATACTTTATTAAATCTTCTCATTTTTAATCCAAAATTTAATGGACAATTTTACTGCCATAAATTCTTAAATAAGATTCAATAAGATTGTTAATATGAAAAAATAGGACAAATCGAACATTTTCGGTTTATTTGTGAAATATAAACGTATAAGAACAAAGTCTGAGAACAGTTGAATTTTTTATATATACCGTTTTTCCTGTTATATTTTTAATATTAGTATATTGGTTATACTAACTTTGTGATAATGTCTTCTGTAACATATTTAGTAATGGTTAAATATAATATATTGTTTTTGATAAACAGTTCACTTATTCTTATTTCCTTGCACCAGAAATTCACCTGTTTTATTTGTTGGATAATAATGGTTTGTATTTATTGTAAAAACAACATAAGTAGACTTTGATTAGATACCGTATACAAACAAAATAATGAATCTTTGGTAAAATTATTTTGCTACAAACTTCAAGGGTACCTTGAATATTAAGTTTGTTATTAATAGTTTTATTATTGTAATTATTTAAATGAAAGTTATCAAGTGTTAAATTAGAGAAAAACAATTTTTTAAAGCAAAAAAATACGCAATATAACAAAATTAAGTGTTATTCAATAACACATTAATTAATAATATATTGTGAAATCTAATGCATTATGTACGCCCTTAAAGGTGTTTGTAGACTGTTATTCGCGAGTCAAGTTAAGTAATATGGAGGAAAATAGGACTTTTTTCAGGGTTGTCAGTACCCATTCAGCACAAACACATTTCGGAAATATTTCAACAATGTTACATTGAAACATTTGCAATGTTGTATAAATATTACGAAACATCCCAGAAACATTTCTGAAATATGCCTGAAACGTAAAAATCTCCTCTAAATATAATATTTCACAGTAATATTTCAGAAATGTATTCTAGTTTATTTTTCTAATATATTATTAGACTAAAAAAGACATTTAAAAATATACATGTTTATTTAAAATACACAAAACTCAAACATTGGTTCTTAAACAAACAAACAAACAAACAAACAAACAAACAAACAAACAAACAAACAAACAAACAAACAAACAAACAAACAAACAAACAAACAAACAAACAAACAAACAAACAAACAAACAAACAAACAAACAAACAAACAAACAAACAAACAAACAAACAAACAAACAAACAAACAAACAAACAAACAAACAAACAAACAAACAAACAAACAAACAAACAAACAAACAAACAAACAAACAAATATGTTTGAATATTTCAGAAAATATAAAAGTGAATTGCTTCATTTCCACCAATTCCTTTAAATGCACTAATTTAAAACAACTAGGTTTTTTTTTTTTAATAAATACTCCAAGTAAAGAAACATTTACGATTATTATAATCTAATCATTAAGATCAATTAGCAATTTTATTTTTATTCAACTTATCTAGGGATGAAAAACTTCATAAACTAAGATTCTACTCACTATATAGTGTACTTTACTAATTATTTAGTTACATTACCGGTAACATATCACACTTAACCACACTATACTCTGTTTTAATCTAACATCACTGAACTAACTCAAAAGGCCTTCTCATTAAATTGACATTGTTGAGGAGCTGGCTAATTTCAAGGTTTCCATGTTGGAGCAGTCGTTGTTGGTGACTACTGGCAAATTTTTGTATTGTATTTTTAACAGTTTCCACTTTAAGGTCCCTATGAAGATTAGTATTACGGCAGTACCAGGATGCATTGTCGATGTTCCTTAATACTTTATTCTGGAAACGTTGAATAACTTGGATGTTATTTTTACTGGCACAGCCCCAAAGCTGGCAAATTGCTTCATTTTCACCAATTTCTTTAAATACACTAATCTGAAACAAAATAGAGGTAATTAAAAAGGATTTATACAAATTATTTGATTAACAATAGTTTTATTAATATTGTTTTAAATTAGCTATAAAAAAATAATACTCATGTCTAAATAAAACATGAAGAACTACCTAAGCAAGCATTATTTATGTAGTTCTCACCTTAATTTCTAAAGACATATTCTGCTTCCCATATAACAAGTTCACAACGCATGAATATCAAAAACCAACAACTCAAATCTATAATTATTTAGAATATAGGCTTGTTTTTAGCTGGTGGCTGGACAGGGACATGATGAAATAAAAAATAAAAAAACTACGTGTATCCCATCTTCTTTTTCCAAATAAGAAAATCTTCATTAATTGTTGGCCTTTTACAACAACCTGTTTAGTAATCTTTTGTGTAACATGTATACCATGTTTCAGAAACAATTTCAGTGAAATATTTAACTAAAATATTTCAGAAATATTTCAGAAACTTGAGCTTGAAATGTTATGTATTTGAAACATTTTAAATATTTCTGAAACATTTCTGAAATAATGTGTGCTGTATGGGTAGTAGTGGAATTTCGCTACATGTCATCTGATTGTTTAGCCCTCGAAGAAATAAAATAACCTTTTGTTTAAGTAGCGAAATTTGTGTCGAGCAATATGTAATCATCTTCTATATTTATTTAAGGATTTTTATAAAATCGATTTATATTGATTTTTAAAATTTTAGTTCATTTATCATTTTTTTTTAATCATTTTATTGGTTGGTAACATTGGCGTTCGTGTTTGCTGTTTATATTTTAATTTGTAACAATTATAATTCGAATTTTTTCTTACTTGTGAGCATTAAATTTGTTTATTTCTTATAGTGTGTGGCAGTGTTTATATTAAAAATTAAGTTGCGAAAAAGCTTTCAGCAAATTGCAGTCTCTATAGTTTTAATGTCAATATCAATACAGAAGTTTTCATTATTTTTCTAACGTAAGTCGTCAAATTTTGTTTCTTACGATAACTGCATATGCACAAATTCACATTATGAGATTTTGCTAAATTGTATGTACAGAATTAAACTGCATTCTGCATTGTGACAGATTTGTAAACGTTTACATGTATACAAAGTTTTACATCATAAACACATAAAAAATATTATATTTATGACGAAAGCACGGAAACTAAACTTAAATTAACACTAAATGAAACTCAAAAATACTATTATAATGATATTATTTAAAAACAGTTAAAAATCACTAATACAAATAAATATGCCACTTATAGGTGATAAATTACAAGCGCCCGTAAATTAATTTGAATCGTCAACAACCTTAAATGGTAAAGTCCTGGACATACTTTTGCAAAACCACTACATCCCAATATTAAAAAATACACCTAAAAATTCCGATAAAGCGTATGTTTTACGTGTTTTTGTTTTCTATTTATGCACAGAAATAGGCCTGTAAAGTGGTTCTACTACAGCTACAACACAACGAAAACTGTGAGAAAATTTCAAATTTTTAATGCCACGGTACTGACATTATTTCCACGGTATTGACATATAAATGATTATTTTTTTTTTATCAATCGAAAGATTGGTATAAAATTGCAATAAAATTCAATGCATTAGATGCATTATATTTTAGTTAGAGGTACATTTTATATTAAAAAATGAATTTTGATAGAAATTTATATATTTCATTTCAAAAATGAGAATCTGACATGCCACGGTACTGATATTTCGAGTATATTAATATGCAGGTTAAAAAAAATTTGCGAAGGTTTATGATCTAATTCATAATGTCGGTTGTAAAATACCTCTAAATTTATATTATTAATAACTTTTTGATGAGGAAAAACTTATGCTAAACGATAAATAAAATACTGGACATAAAAAATCACAGTATCCGAGAATCACCCATATATATTGGTATAAAAACTATTCACTTCCATGGAAATATATCACACCCATCATAATTGTATTGAAATTTTGATGTGCATGTTATCCAGCATATTTTTACAAAATCAATGTTTTAGATTCGAAGATTTATCAAGAAAAACGCAATCTAAATATAATTTTCATGTTTTTCAAAATGAACCCAACAATACCAAGACTTGATCCAAAATACTATAAAAAATAATGTATTTTCCTCACTTAACACTTGCGATCTCCTCTCACTTAATGAAAAAAAGTTTACGACCTATTAGCGCAGTG